AATATTGTCTACGCCAAGAAATTTAGTTACCTTTCGATCCTTAATAATTTGTTTTAGTTGCGTAATTGTCGTACGAAGCGGACTTCGTGGTTGCCGCATAGATATATATTGTTACCTGGTTACGATACTATTTGCAATTACATTATTGTTCATGGGTTCCTCACGCGTTGAAAAGCTGTTATTTGCCATTTTTTCTTTCCGTCTCCGCACATAACATTTGGGCTCTAAAACATTTATTGATCGGAGCAATAAAATTTCTTACCGAATTTTTTGAAAGACAATTCTTTCGGCATAATATTCAATAACAATATTATAAGTTTACATTAACATTTTCGATTCATTTGAAATAATAAATATATTTTCCAATGTTTATTGCCTGATAATTATAGATTTTTCTTTATTACTATTCCACTTTTTATTACGTATTTAAAAATATATTTAAAATTTAAAATAAAAAAAGATCATGCTTGCTGTGCAAAAGAAGGATAAGGCAAAAACATATGGATCTCCAAATGTGTTGCCATATTCTTTGCGTATAGTTATAATAATTTTCCCGCATCTAAAACGGACATGCTTATTTACAATCAACGTCGTGTATAATCGCCATAGTGGCGGGGCGACTGCTGTTGTCGATCTGATGTACTTCTGTGTTTCCTAAAGTGGACGGCTGTTTCTATTCTTGCAGCGATTTTGCAGTGGTTCTACCATTGTACGCATGTTAGGTACTATAAGTTTATGGCAAGGTACCCGATTTGGAATAAAGGGTTGTAAAGCTTCTTGATCTTCTTCTGTATGGCTTCCGGCGGCAGGATCGGGGTGTCGGCTTGTTGATTAATCAGGCATTTGTATTAAGTGTTTGCGTTAATTTTGATAAGCTACTTCTACAGGTAAAAATCAAATGGAAATGCGAAATACCAGTGTATATAACGATTAAATTCGATAATGTAGACCTTTTTCTGCCTAACATAGCAATTTTGAATCTAATAATATTGACTTATTTAGCGTTAGCCGACGCTAATCATGGACCACTCAAAATTGCATTTTTGGCCTTGATTACTTTTGTTGTTTAATTTGAAGAAATTTACTGCCGAAGCCCACTAAACATGTTTAGAAGCTTATCGTGATACTGTTTCATCATTCGCCAGACATGGCGCCCTCTGATTATCACTTGTTCAGATCAGCGCAAGACGGCTTGACTGACACTGTGGTCCGTAAAGTTGAAGAATTACGAAAATGGGACGATGATTGGATTGCCGCTAAACCAATATAAGTTTTTTTGTCAGGATATCGCTATGTTGCTACAAATATGGTGAAATGTTGTTAAAAATTATGGAAAATATTTTGATCAATGTATATTGCATCCATTTTTCTCAATAAATGTCGTCTTCAAGTGATAACACTATCAAAATTAACGCGAACACATAATAACTAGTGAGGCTTAACTGATTTATGTGGCGTTTGAATATGAAGTCGACCAAGCTTTTTAGTGATGGCACCAAGCTTCTACGAAGGCCTATTTGCGGGGCAATATTTGGCTTGAACACGGCTTCCTTCGCTTAATTTTCCGATCTCTACATCAGGAATAGTAGTTTTAAGGTATCTAGTTGGATTCTATTCGACCCTCCCAAGTACAGTTTGAAAGGCCATTTTGTATTTTGTGCCGGTATTGGTCTATATCGAAAAAGTAGCTGTCGAAGTTTTTGGATATAGGTGGTGAATTGTTTGGCATCGCCACCAGGTGCTTTTTTAAGGTCTGGACATTGCTTTCGACCAAGCTATTTGGTACTGGATGCCCGGGAGTAATAGCTTATTGGAAAATTAGGCAATTCGGGCAAAGAATTGTAAGACTCCCCTTTCTTTTAAATATAGTTGCAGTAACCGATAACATCTGGTTATCCATTTTTAGCAAATATGCTGAATAACGTTTCGAATGTTGATGTTGATGGTGGTGCAGAGGAACACACATCCAGTTGAACCCATTTAGTCAATGTGAATACGCTGCTAATTTTGTTGACTTTCCTCCCACGATTGTGAAGTTGCTTTTTGGGGATTATTCTGAACAGAGGTGCAAGCAACACATGAAGGATATCCCTATTATTGAAGACCAGAATACGTGCCTGTTCGCCAGTTATCTTATCTTGGCTATACCCGTGTGAGTAAAATAAAGTACTGCTTATTGAAGCGAACTTGGGACTACAGCCCTTTTTTTTTGAACAAAATCTCAGAATCAATGGTATATTTCGAATCAGCAACTTTTGAACCACACAATTTTTTTACAATTTTTGAAAGTTGAGTATCTCTTTTTGTAGCACCACGCGTTGATTTGAATTTTAATTGTAATTAATATATTTGCAACAGGGCAGAATCGCAGGTAGCGCGTATTTTTTTATTCATAAAATTGATAGAGGTCATACCTGGGTTTAAAGAGGGCTCGACATGTAATCAACATTAACATTTTGCTCATTTTTTTTGTACCAACTTCATAATTGTAGTCAGTAAACAATGCTGGGTACCTTTGAGGTCCTTAAGATAACAGTGTGTATCATTATCTTACAGACTCCCGGCACGAAAGCGCACCATAGGAAACTTTTACCTTTAGAGATCCGGTAAACTGCCTGCTGAACCACTAAGAAGATTAATTAACAGAGCACACACGTAACAGTTTTATTTTCGCAACACAGTTTTCCTCGGTAAAAAGAAAACAAGGCTGCTTACTTAATACGTGTTTTTTATTTTTTTTTTTCACCACGAAGCTACGTCGCAAATAAGGCCATCTTGTACGCTTCTTGGATTCCATATATATATTCGATCTTACAACAAAATACGTAGGTTCCGTTAATTCAACGAGTAAATTACTTGGAACGGACCGCTGAAAAACCCTGAGCGAAACCGCAGCTATAAATTAACCACGTTACAACATATTCGTGAAAATGTTGAACAGACTGCAAGTCCATGAGAGATTGTGGAAGAGAGTGGGACAGATGTAATTGGCAATTCTGCGGTTAATTCACCAACCTAATCGTAATTATATAGTTTGATCTATTCATACTTTCTAGTGCCGTATGAATAATTATTTGAAATCCTAACATTCGTTTCAATTGTACTCAAACAAACCAACCTTTGTGATTCAACAGGTTTAAAGCTTTAATAGTAATAACATTGCCTACATTGTCTTCAATTCTTTGAACATAATAAACATAGTTTCATAACAATCGCTGTTGTAGAGATGATGGATACGATGGGACGTCTTTATATATTGGAGAAACGGATTAGTGGCTCGGGTGATGTATGCGAAAGTGTTAACTGTATTGAAGCAGTAGTAATTACGCTTAATAGCTGCATGCGCTCTGGAATACCCTTGAAAGTAGTGTTTTATCATATATATGTGTACTGCCAGGAAGCTTCATAATTATGTCGAGTATATATTGGTACCTTTTGGTCAGGTCCCTGCTATATTTGGCTGTGACTCAAATATAAATGTCTCAGAAACATCAATGTCATTGTTGTGGAATACTATGATTTCAAAAGCTGTCACTCGTTTGTAACGCAAGCTAAAGGTGGGATTTCTATAGGCCTTCAATAGCATGCACAACAAAATTATAACTGATATAATAATATACAACCTGTCTGACAAGCTATCGTTTGTATTGTTATTAGTATGGAATGAAAGATTTTTAAGAAACCTTGTATGCTCACTGTGACTTTAATAAGACAAAATAAAATTTAATATTTGAATATTCCAGAGAACTGGTATCTTAAGTAGTCTACATCTTCAATGAAGCGATAAGCAACATTACTTTTCTCGACATACTTAAGGTGTAGAAAATTATATCGCTATCAAAACATTCTCAAGTAGATATGATGGAAACTTACCGACCAATATCTATCTTGCCGACAATTGATTGCATACTCAGTATGTAACATTCCTGTACAATAAAAATTGACTGACAGAAAATCAAAATGGTGTTAGAAAAGGCTGTGGACCACATCTACGAATGGTTACACACCTCTGGTGTAGGTTCCATGTTTTATAATTTTGCAGAGATATTTGATTTGGTGGAGCATAACAGTTTAATTAAAAAACTTTTTTTATGGCCTAAGTGGAAGGGAGCTCTAGCAAAAGTACCACGAAAAGTGTTCACTATGAAGTACCGCAAGGAAGCATCGTGAGACCAGCATTAATCCCGATTTACGTTCCTGATATACATAATATAGGATTACGAAGTAAAATAACTTAGAATATAATAGAGAGGACTAAAGCAATAGTTTCATTTCAATATAAGATTTTTACGTAATAATTGGCGTAAGAAATCGCCAAGAAATCGACGTTGTGACATCTCGACGATTGTCTTTACTTTAGAAACAGATTTTTGGACTTTGTTCTACCTCTCTCGATGACCCAAAATTTCTAATTGTTTTTGATAGAATACACATCTTAAAAGCTTTAAGTGAAGGTCTTACTTGTACGTGATGTTGTCGAAACATTCTGTCTTTGGAATTTCGTAAATAAATAAGGCTTGTAAAGATCAAGGCGGCAGAAATATTCCGATTTCTTGAAGCTATTGAAAAAATCGTTAGTTTGTGTATATTTTATAATTGGCGCAAAACCTTACCCTTTTGGTAGCCTTTGGAATTGGCACTAACGGTGAAACGCATTCACTGTTGCCCACTGTGGTGATAATTCTTTCTTTTTCCAATTCGTCGAGCCCCTTGTTAACTCGTTCTTCTAATGCGTTAAGAATCTGACGGTCTTTGGTGTAAATAGGCGCGGTGTACTGTAAAGAAGCTTTAAAGTTAAGGATACACCCAATTTTTTGCTCAAAAATAGATGTAAGTTTGGCCATTAATTCTCCAATTTGGGGTTTATTAGTAATACGATTGGCTACAGATATGTTTGAATTAATTTGATCGAATCCGTTGAAACTATTACCAAGGCGACGTACTCAAGTTCTGCGGTAAATAGGAGCAATTTTCAAAAGCCATAATCAGAGTCATTTCTCTTCAGTCGATTTGTTGAATTTTTTTATTTACTAGATTTATTATTATTAGGCGTTAGCACCCGATTCCAAATGAGAAGCAATGTATACTTTTGGTACTTTGCACATAAATTATACTTTAACTCTGAACTGGAGTGACACTCTGTTGCAGCAATGCCTACTTGCTCATAACTACCTTTAGTTTTGTGTGAAGCTTTAGACGATTTGGTATTTTCTGTTGAAAATGTTGTTTATCGCTCCACTGGGTGAACTTTTCGTAGCCTGCGACAGGTTTTTCGCATCTAACTTCGCCCCCTCAAGCATCAAGACCTTTAACGCAAATTTCTTCAAATTTAGGCGAATCCCATTGAAGCAGTTTTGCTCAAATGGTATTTTCGTCGATAAATCGTGGCGTTAAAAATACGTCAGCAATGGTTTTGAATCCTGAAAAAATTTACAACCATAGATATCAGGGCGAAGTATTGCTACAAAACCTATCAGAAGCTTCAACCATTCGTCGTATTGCAGGTCTTGTGTCAATTTTGGTGCCGTCTCCTTACTAATATTTACATAAGATGTAAACTGCTGTATATAATGTCGATACCCTTCCTTGTCCGAACTAAAATTGTCGATGTTAAGCACCTGCACCTCGTCGACTACGTTGTCGCTGCTTCTTTGTACTGTACTGAAAGCAGTAGCGCCAACAGTCAGCTGAGAAAATTGTGCTATCAAATCCTGTTGCGTTTTCAAGAAAGTTGCAAATTGTTAAGCATCTATTTTTATTTTTTCTGGTGTAAGCTTGCTTCACCAATAGCACTTGCATAAAAAATGATTATCGCGATTATCGCCGCACTTTTAGGGTGTTCTATGTTACTATTTTACTTACTGGACACATAGTCAAAAATCAATCTAAAATTGAAAGCAAAAAGAAAAAGAATTTCTGCGCTCCATGCTTGCTTTACCAAAGAAGAACAAGTCAAAAACATATGGATCTCCAAATGTGTTGCCATATTATTTGCTTATAGTTATAATACAAACCCTTCCAAGTTCGTGTTGTGCCTTTCCGCTTGTATACCACTTATTTGTGTGTTATTTGCATATGTGCAATAAGAAAAGGAAAACCAAACTATCATCTTATGTAAGTTAAATTAGTTTTATTTCCTTGGGTTTATTCATGAAACGCAATTTATTTTTTGTATTTTTATTTAATTAATTTAACAATTTATTTCTTAAGTTTGGTTTAGAACTTGTTGTTAAATGGATAGTTGATAAAGAGACTGACTTTTCTTATCGATTTATAAAATAGGAAACCTCGGTTTAACCAATAATCTACGGTCAGCATTTATTTTTATTATAGGGTGAAATGAGATATCTGTGGGAGATGTTTATGGTAGGGTGCCATTGGATATCGGTGAGTGTTTACGTTAACTTTATATGAGAAGTGTTTATATTAACTTAATATGACACTTTAGGTCTATTTATCGTAATTGTGAGGGTGGTTCGTAAGTTTGTTCTTTTTATTAGGATGGTCCTTAACTCTTCCCCCTTTAGAACCGATTGTCCTTCGAGATTAAAAATACGGAATGTCGTTGAACTTCAATGGGGTTCTACGACCCTTGCGTTCCACAGTTCTTAAAGGTATGTCGTCGGATCGGACTTGTTCCATTATTGGATTATTCACTATTGTTTTGGTACTATTTTTCCTACTTTTATAGGCTAGGATTATAATCATTATTCTGATCCCGATTACAAATCCCCAGGTTGAGTATTGGTGGACAACGGATTTGGTCTGTAAATACGATATTAATTTGGTATTATGGATTTGAAGTTCATCTAGCATCTGCAGAGAGACGAAACGTTTGCGCTCCTTCTCTTCAGGCATTAACTGAAGTATGGAAGGTAGTACCTTGTAGGTGGGTATATCCTTAGATATGTAGGTCTTTCCATTAACACGGAGTGAAACGTTATCGAATCTTATTAGGAACGTTCCGTTAAGGAGTTGTTGTTCCGTTTCTACCTCGAAGGTGCCGGAAAATCCGTTTAATAAGATTATACCGGAAGATATTTCGTCTATAACCGGAAAATGCTGACTGTTTACAATATTGCAAGTACGTTTTTTACTATTTAATAAGTTTGGAATACAATTGGTGTTTGTTATATTAATAAGGTCTTGCCTTTTACAAACAATTAGATTCTGATATGATTTGCATTTATTAAGTATCGTGAATATCTCGTCCTTTGAATTTATGCTGGTTTCTGATTGAAGATCGGTTGCCGTGTTATCATTTCTTTTTACGGCTTTTAGAAGAATAGTTTCATAAATCTGTTCACTGGTTATTGGAATATTGATAATATAGAGGATTGAGATAGAATTAGTTAGTATTTGTACTTTGGATAGGTTTAATGTCTCTTCTATTGTTTCAAATAGTATTTTTTCTCTCTTTATTGCCCCTATTGGCAGCTGTATTTCCTCCTCAGATAAAATGAGGGAGTTTATTATTCCAGCCTTGGCCCAATGTATGGCGTGGTTGATATTCTGCAGTTCTTCTTTAAGGATTTTTATTTGATATTGAGTATCGGAAATTAATTTTTCTTTATTATAGTTTTTGCCAGATTTAAATTCTTCTATCAAACTGTTAGTGATCTTGGTTATATTGTTATACCTATCCTCGTAAAGCTTATTGATTATGGTTTGTCGGTTGTTGTTCTGTAGTAGGTTGTTTATTTTGTCCTGTGTTGTCATTAGGTCTTCATGATCGGGATTACCCGCAATCCATTTCCAGGCGGATCCTATGAAATCAAATGATCTTTTCCTTATTATTTTTCCAGGCTTCAGGCGTCGTAGTAAATTTTCGATTTGACCCATTTCATGCTTGAGATAAGGGAATAGAGAATGATAACTGTTATTGTTGACTATCTTTCCCAATTCATTGATATTTGTTTCATATTCGTCCAAGTTAATTACGTGGATTAATTTGAAGTTTCCAGTCTGTATTCGTGCTTGTCCAGTGTGGATGGGTACCACCTGTGATTTGGAGAAGTCCAACATTTGTATGTCTCCGATAATTATCCCAATCAAAAACCTGAAATTTGAAGTTTAGTTCCTTATATTATTTTTGTGTACAGTTTTTCCTGAATTAGTTATAATAATTATCCCTTTGTCTTCTCTAACTATTTCTTTGTTGTATCGGAAAGTCAATTTCGAGCCTAGTCGTTTGTTGTGTTTTACGTAGATTTCGTCCCCTGGTGAGTAGTGTTTCATTTTTGATTTTGTTTTGTTGTGGTATTTCAAGTCCTGTCTCTGTTTTTCTTTCAGTCTATCAATATTCTGCAGTCTTAATTTTTCAAATTCTTTGGGGTCAATGTTGGGCGTGCGTCCATGGAGAAGTTCTGCTGGTTTTTTCTTTGTGACGGAATGGATAATTAAGTTGTATTCATTTACAGCTCGTTCCAGCAATTCTTCGAAGGTCCTTTCTTTTCCATCCGATTTGAGGCATCTCATTATTTCGCTCAGAGTAGAATGGAATCGTTCGATTTGTCCATTTACCTCGCTCCTATATGGCGGTGTGCGATATACCTTGATTTTGAGATCGTCTTCAAGCATAGCCATAATGGAGGCAGATTGCAGTGCCTTTTCATTATCGATTACGATAATTTTGGGAATCCCAAAATAGAACAAGATATCTTGTAGAGGTCTCTTGATGTGTTCAACAGCACGGGATTGGATTGGTTTTGTTATACCGAATTTGGTAAATTTGTCTATGGCGGTTAGTACCAGGTGTCTTTCAGTAGAGAAGATATCGATGTGTAGGGTGTGGCCCGTATGGGTTGGAATAGGTGTAGGTTGAATCTCTATGTTGTTGGGATGACGATCGTATTTATTTTCCTTACATGTTTTGCAGTTATTAACTATTCTCTTGATTTTGGCTGACATGTTTGGGAAGAAATATTGCTGCAGGATCTGTAGGCGATTTTCTTTAGCATTTCTATGGGCTCTACGATGTTCCTGACAAATTGTTTCTATCTGCTGTTCTTCGATTTCTGCGTCTTTTACTATGGTTTGTGAGAATCGTGTGTGATAATCCTTAAAATGCTGTGGGTAGAAACTTTGTATTATCCCCATAATTGGTTCTGTGGTGCACAGACCGTTAATAACATTGGGATTGTTTAACGTCTCTATCAAAGCTTCGTTAATGAGTTCCTTCCGAGTTATTGTGTGTCTTGAAAAATTACCAAAAGAGGTTTCTAACTTGTAGCTGTCTTGATTACGGTGCTTAATAATTAACTGATTTCGGAATACGTTTAGAGGAACTTCCACTGATGGAATCAAGTGCTGTCCTGAACTTTCGTCGCTATGGACCGTACCAGTTAAGGAGTTTATTTCCTTGCTTGTTGGTGGTCTGGACAGGCAGTCGGCTACAATATTTTCTCTGCCGGATTTGTATTCCAACTGGTCGTTATATTCCTCGAGGATTGCTTTCCATCTTTTGAGCTTCTGGTTCGTGTTTCTATTGCTTAGAGCATAAGTGAGTGGTTGATGGTCTGTAAAAATATTGACTTTTCGTGATTCATATAGGTAGTTACGCAGCGTTTTTAATGACCGTATTATGGCTAGCATTTCCTTCTCGTTTATGGCGTAGGCCTCTTCCGTCTTACTTAGCGTGCGGGATAAGAATATTATTGGTCCCCTATCCTGGGATAAAACTGCTCCTATGGCGAAGTTGGATGCGTCTGTTGTAAGATCGAGGGGTTTATCGAAGTTGGGATGAGTCAGTATGACTTCATTCGAGCTTAGCGAATTGTTTAGGTGATTGAAGTGCTCCATCTCCTTTTTCCCTAACCTTATTAATTTTTTCTTAGAGGCTTGTTTGGACACGCGTCCATCCTCCCCTCTTAAAAGGGTTGTCAGGAGCTTGGCAAGCTTGGCGAAAGTCTTTAATGAACTTCTTATAGTAACCTGCCATTCCGAGGAATGATCGTAGATCTTTGAGAGTTTTGGGTGGCGGAAAGTCGACGATTGCTTGGATTTTGTTGAGGTTGGACTTAATTCCATTTGTTCCTACTATAAAACCTAAAAATTCGACTTCATCTCTTAAAATTTCTCATTTGTCGAGCTGAATCTTCAAATTGGCTTTCTCTAAGGTATCAAAGACTTCTTGTAAATTGTTGAAGTGGTCATTTTCGTCTTTTCCAAATATGATTACGTCATCGATATAGACGTAGCACCGCTTCCCGATGTGTTCTCTCAGAACATCGTCGAAAGTCCTTTGGAATAATGATGGGGCATTTTTCAAACCAAATGCTAGTCGGACGAACTCATATTTGCCATTTTTGACTGAGAAGGCAGTTTTTTGAATGTCAGATTTTTTGAATGGTATCTGATGAAAGCCACTTTTAAGATCAATTATAGAGAAAAATTTGTTTTTGCCAAGATTAACTAATACGTCATTTATTTCCGGAATTGGGTATTTATCAGGTATGGTTATTTCGTTTAATTTGCGGTAGTCCACTACCATTCTGTACTTTTTTTGACCAGAAGAGTCCATTTTTTTCGGTACAATCCACACAGGTGAGTTGTACGGCGATTTTTAAGGTCTGATTATGTTATCTTGTAAGAGTTCTTTTATTTGATTGTCTACTTCTTCCTTCAGAGCCATCGGACACGGATAGCTTCTAGAGTAGACTGGTTCATCGGACGTTGTTCGGATTTCGACTAATACGTTTGTTGCAAAGGTCAGTTTTCTATTAGGGTCAGCAAATAGGTGTGGGCAGTTTTGGAGTAGTCCTTGTAGACGGTTGCTTTGTTTTTCAGACAAATGTGAAGTGCGTAGTTTCATATTATTGATGTAGCTTGATATGCACTCTTTTAGTGGAATTTTAACGTTTGGGTCTATTGTCATGAAGTCAAGATTGGTATGGATGACTGCATTGAGTTCTCTTAATGTATCGTTACCGATAATGTCATCGAATGATTTAAGGCTTGGTAAAATGAAAAATTTGATTTTATTTCTGTTCGGGAATAGTGGCACGTTGGCATGGTGAGTTATTTTTATCTTGCCGCAGACAGAACTGGCTAGAAAGGGTTTTTCGTTTATAATGGGTTTTCTTATGTGTTTGGGTTGAACATAGTTTTTGTTCGACCCTGTATCTATTAAAAATTTTAAAATATCTCCACCGCCATTTTTATGTTAAAAATAAGGCAGTGAAGATTGCCTTAATCTAAAAAATGAATATCATACTCCGGGATTTCACTTGGTTCCATATTTTCGTTATATGTCTGCTCCGGATTTGGTTCTATTGTGCTTCCTCCCTCGTTGTCCTCTTCACACGTTATGTTGTAGGACCTTTGATGTTTGAGAGGCATTCCTTGAAATTGTTGTGAAGGTAATCGTTTTTGTACGTATGTTTGATATTGGTTCGGGCGATTTGCGTAGTTTATGTGTTTGGACTGCATGCTCATGTGTACATCCATTGGTTCATCACGTCGTTGTGGTTTTGGGGGCACTGGTGGTTGGTATTGAGGATTTCCTTGGAATGTCGGATGGTTTTTTGAAATTTGGGTAACTTCGATTTTATAGAGAGGAAAGAGAAAAAAAAATTTGTTGTAATGTTCCTATTTTTATACTCCAATAACTCGTGATTTATCGCGAAGAAAAAGGAAAAAAAATTTGACTTCAGATTTTGATATTCCGATAATATGTGATTCGAACGCAAAGGAAAGTCTTAAATTTAGTTTAGTAATATTCAGATATTGATATTACGATAATTTGTAATTTGTTGAAAAAATTCTTAATTTTAATTTTGTGAGTTATCGTAAAAATTCCTAAAATCTAATTCTGCTTTAGGCTTACTTGCTAAATTCTGTTTAAAAATTTGCTTTGCAGATTTTGCTAATATTCATTTATTTTCGTTTCTTTAATATAGTTTCACTTAGGTTTGTTTTCTTTGCCTTCTTTGGCTTTTTTATTTAATTTTCCTTTATTCTTTTTTTTTTCTTAAAAATTTCCAAATTTATTTTCTTTCTTTGTTTTATGTTCCCTTTTTTTTTTTTTTTTTTTTTATAAGTTTTTCTCTTTTCATCCATTATTAATTTTTAACTTTTAATAAAAAATTTTCCTCTTTTTTTATTTATTTTTTTTTCACCTTGGTTCTTTTTAATTTTCACTTTTCTCTTAAAAATTTCCTGTATTTTTATTGTTCCCTTTGTATTAAAATAATAAAAATTTTATTTACATTAATACTATGGTTTTTACCATAGTTGATGAGTCCTTTACCATTATCCGTTCCTTTTGTTTCCAGTTGCTGCATACTCTGCTCCTCGGACTGGTGCTCCCTTTTGGTGCTTCTTACTTGGGGGCCTTGCCGCTTCT